TTTTTTTTTTCCCATTATCCTGTTGGGATTCATTAAGCTTCCCAAATCTGAGAATCAGTACCTTTCATGAGTCCTAGAAGGTTCTGAGTTATTGTCTCTTTAAATATGGTATTCCTCATTCTCTCTGTACTCTCCTTCAGGAAATCAAATTAGACTTAACGTTTTTCCATCTCTCTTCTTCATGTCATGTAATCTCTGTTTCATATTTTCCATCTCTTTGTCTCTGTGTGTTGAATTCTGGATAATTTCTTTAAATCTATTGTGCAGTTCACTGATTCTGTCTTCTGTCCATCTCTAATCTGTTTAACCCATCTGTTGAATTATTAATTATAGTCATTGTATTTTTTCATTTCCAGATGTGTTGTTTGGTTCTTTCTCAAACTTCCCTGGCCATTTGGGATGTTTATTATCCCCTCTTTTTCTTTTCTTTATACATATTAAATGTACTTATTTTATTTTCTATATGTGGTAATTTCAATATTTTTCCTTTTTTGTGGATCCAAGTCTGTAGTTTGTTGTTTATTGTTTTGGTTGAAACAAGTTTATGGTGACCTATTTTCTAACATGTCCAATGATTTTTGATTGTGAGTTCATATTTCTCTGAAAATTATTTTGAGGAATTTTTTATTTATAATATATTTCTACAAGAAGATTGGGTTTGTCTTTTTGCAGCACCATCATTTTATTTCTTGTGATACGATAAACTCTGGACCACTACACAATCAGTTTTCACCCTGGCTTCCCAGCCTTTCCCTCTCCTGTTCCCCAATGCCTGCACACACACACGCCCACACGTGCACGCACACACACACACACACACACACTGTGAATTTCAGCTCCAAACGCATGTGACTGTTGGGCTGCCACACGTGCACGCACACACACACACACACACACACTGTGAATTTCAGCTCCAAACGCATGTGACTGTTGGGCTGTAACGAGGCATTCCCAGAGGTGACTTTTTCTCCGCTTTATAGCTCTACTTGGAATAGAGAAGGATAGATTTAGGTGTGTTCCTAGTTCACTTACTGAGGGTGGTGCCAATCCTACTGCTTATCCAGCTCAGTCCCTGTTATGGACTGAATTGTATTCCCCCCCAAAACTCATAGTCTGAAGCCCTAATCCCAGTGTGACTGTATTCGGGGATAAGGCCTTTCAGGGGTTAATTAAGGCTAAGTGAATGAGGTCATAGGGTAGACCATAATTCAATAGGACTGATGTCCTTATAAAAAGAAGAAGATCTACTAGAACTTTCTCCCCTGCTGTGAGCACAGAGGAAAGGTCACATGAGGACACAGTTAGAAGGTAGCCATCTATAATATAAGAAGAAAGGCCTCACCAGAAACCAAATTTCCTACCAC